CTGAAGAAGACTAGCAGTATGCAGTCAAAACGTTGCGATCTACATCACACATGACTACATTGTGCGACCAACAGAAAACTTAGCTTTTATTGTTATTCACCACGATGAATATCACAACCTTTTCTAACATTTTAATTTTTTTCTAACACGTAACAAAATGCTTTCCAAAAGAACCCCTAATGATTTAGGGCTGCAATTATGGCAAGATCCTCCATATGAAGAACAATTTTTGAGCAAGTAGATAAAAGAGAAAATAAAGTTGTACATAAATTCAAATGTACTTTTGAAGTTTTGAGAGTCTGCTTGTTTGTTTCCTGCAATGGCATGTGTAAATTTTTCCTCTCTTCCACTGAAAAACTGAAGTCAAATTCTAGCAAATCCTAGGGAACTTTAATGCAACTTTAAGTCATCTAATTACTTGGGTTTCTGTTGTGAAATGTAAAAAATATGTCCAAATTCATGGGACTTGCAAAGAATCAGCAAAAGTATATTTTTAATATTAGAACTCAAAACTTTGCTCAACATTTTACAAAAAACAAATTGAGTGATGTAATTGTTAACTGCAAAATCCTCTTGTTTTAACTTTCTGAGTTGCTTTTTGAGAAGGATTATCAATTAAAATTGTTTTTTGGCTTCTTTTATTCCATCTGAAAAAATACATTTGGTATCACAAAAATAATTCATTTGGAAATCAATTTTTTCAGAAAAACCAAAGAAATTTGAGAGAAAGAGAGAAGAGAAATTTGATAAGTTATTTATTGGCTAAAAAGGTTGTGACAAAAGTCTTTGCTTAAAAATGCTGCCCAGCTGGCAGACCAAAGTTTATTTATATAAATTTACAACCAAGCTAGTGATGTACAGGCCACACAGTGGATAAGATACTGCCCAGTGTGAGTGGGCTGGATGAGAGAATACTTTCTGAACTCTGTACCAATCAGATTGCAGGATTTGTAGAATACCCCTCCTTACTCATCAAGAAAAAAATACTGCATGTTAGCATTAAAAACTAGTATACTTTTCTGACCTTTCCAAGTAAAGCATCCAGATTTTTAACAACTTCAGACCTATTGAAATTAAGAAAAAAAATTCAAAAAAGAAGTGTGATCAATTGAAAAAAGAGCTGAGAATAACAGATGAATATGCAACTGCTATACGTGGTCAATCAGAAATCATCTTAAGTATGGTAGAACTAGTACCACATTAGCACTTTCTTAACTATCTGCCACTAACCCACTGAGTATTTCATCAAACATTTTGATGCTCTTTTTGGCATAGGAGTCCTTTCCACTGGTTATGTCAATCCAACCACGCAAAAGAAGGCCCTGAAATTAAAATCAATAGTAGTGACTTTCATAAATCTACTGCCACAGTTCCCTTCTTCAGCAAAGATTGTTACAAAGGAATATATGCCAGGGTCATAACAGAGCAAGACATTGAGTGACAAACTTGTTGATTACCTCTTTATTATTACTGGCCATTTTGATCATTCTGTCCACATACTCTCTTGCCTTGTCATGCCGTCCTGTATGCCAGAGAAACATTCCACCAAAAAACAATGCCATTTCACCGCATGACTGCCTATCCTGACGAAGTTTTGCCTCCAGCTCTTGAACTGCTTCTCTGTCAACAAGTTTAGCTTTCTTGTGTGCATGAATGAGTGCCATGGTGGCACAAAGTAGGACATCAGGCTTTTCTTTGATTACTTCCAATTCCCTTATTGCCTCAGAGGCTCTCTCTGAGATTAATAAAAGGAAAAATAATTAGACTTCATCACTATGGTCAGTCATGGTGGACCAGACAGAGTAAGGTTGTGACAAATGAAAGCAGAGATTTTTCAACTACTGGATTATATCCTTTCACAACAAAATCTACTAAGCAACTTTTACCTTTATGTGTATGTATCAAATATGGGTAAGATTTCTGCACAGTCTATTGTTTTCTCCACTGTTTTCTTTATCCAAGAACTGAATGCATAATGAAGTAAGGGGCTGTGTGAAAGTCTTACCCAAATAAGCCAATCTACAACTATACTAGCCTAGGCTTTATACAATTTACGTTTCCTGTCTTTCATTATCTGTGGTCTTTTGAAATGTCCCACCTGATGAACCACTTAAATAATGTCACCTTCCTCATATTACACATTGAAGTACTAATTATTTTTTAAAATCTTTATTGTCACCAAGATACCTTTACTGCACAAACAATGATCAATTAATTACCAGGAGGATTGAAGTAATGTGACAACCTATGACCTAGTACTGGCACACTGCTAAGCAGACAGGTTATTTTTCAAAAAATAACCTTTAAAAAAGGAACACTTTAAATTTGATTATCTTCCTAAATTCTGAATATTAAAATCAGCAGGCATGACTGATGTCTCCTTCCTTAAATAACGAAAAAAACTTAGTTTACACACAAGGAAAATACAGTCAATCTATAAAGGCTGAGACAATCATAGACCATGTATGTTATCATTTAAGTCACTAATTAGTCACACCTTCCATTAAAACTCCAAACGCCTTCCAAAATATCAATACTGGATCGTTGCCATACTTCTTCAAGCTCTCCAGACACGAATTCTGCAGATGTCTGTAGTATTTCTCGCGACAGTAGTAGTTAATATAAGCCTTTAAAATAAAACCAAGTTTTAAAAAAATACATTTGCCATTTATTTCAACTAAATAAGCTTATGGCAACCGTGGCAACAAGATATACGCTTCAGTCAAATTATTGTTTTCAAGTCGCCTTCCCACAGCTATACTTACCAGAGTAACTGTATCACTTGAAGCCATTTTGTATGTCTTCTGCAACTAACTCGTAAATCTTTTTAGAATAAATATTACTTGTAGGAGGGAATTATGTTCTTAATTTTAATGTGTTTTGGTTACCAGACATCCGCCATATTTTCACCGGCCAAAATATTTCCCATGAAGCTCTGGTGAATCCCATAAGACTTTGTGGGTTCTCAAAAGTCAATATGGCGGCTGTAGAGGGCAGCCTGGAGGAAGAAGCTCTCAGGCGAAGAGAGCGGTTAAAAGCCATGCGAATCAAAAGTGGATTACCGGAGCAGCAGGTGCTTGATACATTATGAAAGTTTTATTTTTTCTAATATTTCTCTTCTCAGTATGAATTAAACAACTATCACAAATTGTTATCCCTCATTCATCTACAGTAACGGATCTAAGACTTAACATTTGACATTTTACGAGTCTGAATTTCACACTAAAAGCAAATACGGCGGTTGAATTTGTACTATTCCTCACAACAGACTTCTACCGATAGCGACTCCACGAGAGGAGAGAAGCGATCTCTGGAAGAGTCATCTCAACTCATGTGAGTACTTTTGTAGATCAGGCGTCCTTGTTGATTGTCTCGTCTAAGAGAGCCTCGGGAAAGATGTTATTATACAATTTTTGTCTCTTTCTCGTAAACCGTAATACCCAGAAGAATTTATTCAAGTAATCAATAGAACTGAGCGAATGATACTGGTTTTCAAACTGCCTGAAGAGTTATATTAAATCTGAACTATTCACTGTACAAAAATCCTTAGTAACTTTGGTCAACTCTTCTCTTGTGCTGTTGATGTAAGAAGTCAGGTAAAGGGAGGGCTAAAGAAGGAATGACAGTGATCGAGTTTTTTCTTTCTTGTTTCATTATTTAAAATTCCATTTCATTTTGAATCTAAAAATAGTGATTTCATTATATATCATTACGAATATTTTTCTTTTTCTAGCACTCTTTTTCAGGTCTTACATCACTGTTTTGTTACACTATGTAATTGTCATCTTTGCACTTGCACTGCATGCACAACTATGCAATTAACATAAGCATGAGCTTCGCACTCTGTATAAATTATAATGATTTCGTAATGAATAAAGTTGTAAGTTTTGACATGGAACCGAGCAAATAACAGTTTTATTATCTTGGTTCTTGTTAACTCTTTTATAGACCTCCAACTAGGCTGATTAAGTTTAGAAACTATCTGCCTCGTGATGAGACCTTGAAGGAAAAGAAAATACCAAATACAAAACCTCTTTCAGGTGTGTTTCTACTATTTTAGCTGTGTGTGGTGTTTCTGGTCTCTTTCCTCCTTGATCAGAAATTTCTGTGTCAGATATTTTCCAAGTATTAAATGGATAAATGAATATTGATATGTGGCAATTGTATCCTGGTGATGCTTTATCTAATTGGTCTTGATTTGTCAGCCAGTTGACCTGAAAAATTATTGTTGCATGTATTTTTAAGGGGTTGTCTAAGAAAATGTAGCTGGGGGGAATTAAGTGCGTTAAAAAACTGTATGACTGTTTGTTCATTGAGAATAATTTAGCCTAAAATTTACAAGATTGTGACTACAATCTGTGATAATCTTCTTCATTGGTACCATTCTATTTTTATTTTTTCTGGGTTCAAAATGGCAAAATTCAGAAACTGTAAACATCAGAAATAATAATGAATGCTTTTGTGCTCAAAGGAAAAACCCAATTGGGCATCAGAAAACTAAGCCACAAATGAAAATGGTAATAGGTTTGTGGTTTAGTGATTTTCTTATGTGTCCTGAACATTATTGTGATTGGTCAATACAAAACTGACTTGTCAGACTCAAAGCAAAGTATAAGCCTTTGTATTTTCTTCTTTCAACTGTTTGATATCAGAATTCTTTGGCTTTCTTCAAGTCATTTGTATTTTTTTATTGTGGCAATACTGATAGAGCTCCTTTTTATAACTCATTTGATATTTGTGTCTTGGGCTCTTATTTTATCTCACAGTTGAAGATGAAGTGCAAGAGCACCTTGAGAAAGCAAAGGCTGACAAAGTTATAGAAGAAGTGGTAAGGAAAACCACAGCTTAACGTAGACTGAACACATGTCTTGAGATTTAAAGGGCAGTGTACTTGTTATGTTCCTTCAACATGTACATTTGTAATATTGATCCTTTACTATCTGTCACCCTGAGATCAAGAAGTATGGGAAGTTAATTTATCAGTTGTTTATGGCTTATTTTTGGGATGGAGGATAGAGAAAATTTGAATCAAACTTCACCCAACAGGTAAGTTTCAAAAACAAGAAGAAGGAAAATTTACTAACTACAATTTGCAACACTAGCCCTACAAATGATAAGGAGAATGCTTATTTGAATGTTTACTTAAAGAAAGCATCTCTATATAAAATGTAAAATGGCAAGCATTTCCTTGTAAAAATATTCAACAACTATCTTTTTTTTGCTTATTTTACAGGACCTGGCCAACTTGGCACCAAGAAAGCCTGACTGGTTAGCTCTGATTTTTTCGTTTTGTTTTTTCCTTTTTGTTTAGTTTTAAAACCTGAATATGGCTCTTCGATGTGTTTCCTCTGTAGTATTTTAACAAACTCGCCCAGAATGAATTTGAAATTCCTGGCAAAAAACCAAAATCAGCCAACTAGGTGATGAATACTTGTTAAAGAAAACAAGGGAAAACATTTTGTTGTATTACTTTGAGTGATCTTGATGAACTTTTGTGTTTTGGAATTCAGATAATAACAATTGTCAAAAATCATTGATCCCTGGTCTGCTATGTAGGGGAACTTCAAGACTGTATCTTTTGCTTTATATTAAGATGTGATCTATATTTGAAAGATTTTTTAAATTCATCATGGCAAAGTTTTCCTTAAGACACAATTGCTCCTGAACATATTTGGATTGCAATGTTTTGACAGCATTTTTTGCACAATGTACAGTGTTTAAAAAAATTGTCATGTAAGTCCTGCAACTAGCAATAACATTTATTGATTTAGAAAGTTATATATACCTATTTAGGTGTTCTCAAGTGATGTACTTGTTTACCACTCTTTCAAAAGTTGGATTACCATAGTTCTAACTACAGCAATATTTTAGGGATTTAAAACGAGATGTTGCAAAGAAACTTGAAAAGTTAGAGAAAAGGACACAGAGAGCAATAGTTGAACTTATAAGTGAGTATTGGAGTCTCCACATTTGGATTAAGGGATGTAAATTAACAACCTCTAGTCAATGGATGACATTTATGCATACCGGTAACTTGCAAACAATGGTGTATTTTATTTTTACCATTGGAGAGCTTAAGGAAAGATATTGTGGAACAATAAACTGCCACAAGAATATGAAGGTCCTTTTCTGTGGGCAGACCCAATCTGTGCCCATGGTTCTTTCTTTTTCTCTCAAATTCCCGTGTTCCCCCATCACAATTTTATCTGTGAATCTACCTGTGCTTCAGTTTAACTCACTCAGGTAAGGGATAGAACCCTTGTATATTGTTTTAAAAAGGTTTTTGTCCCTTGGAAATTACGATAGAACTTGTACATTTCATTTAAAACCCTTTAGCCTCTCTGTGGTACTGTTTGTGTTGTTTCCATAGGGCAATCTTTTTAGGGGAAGGGCTGGATGCTTTGGGCATTAGAGGGGGCCATTTTCAATTTTTCGGACTTATGGGGAAACGTATTGGAGCTGTGTGCTAAAGCAAGTTCTTTAAGTATTGAAGCCACTGCTTCTAAGATGGAAAGACTTTTGATACAAGTCGTTGAATGGTTTTGGTCCATTAGGAGATCGGTTACAGCAAGGAGAAGATTTAGCTGCAGCAGTCAATGCAGCAGCCTCAGAACAGAACTATGAAGCAGAGTGAAGATTATCAGCTGTGTTCACCCTAGAGCAATGGACACTTGTCTTGTACAAGGAAATGCTTCCCTAAAAAGAACAGAAATACAATTCCCTGGTCAAGCCATCATCGCTTGGTGTTCAAAATGGACGTTAGTTGTGAGACAAGCAGACTGACGTCCAGAATGTCCATTGTAAAACTGCCTCGCGTGTTGTATATAGACTAAACTTCAGAATTAAAGCCATCTGTTAATGTACATGACACTCATTATGAAGGAAATAAATTTGGATAATTTCTTATTTTCAAGGCTAGAAATGTTTCAAAGAAATTATTCATAAGATATCCAAACAAACGTAGTCACGATTGCTTACTTGTCTGTTGATCTCCCACAGAAACATTGACCCATCACCCTGTTAGGCAGAAAGTCTATTGACGTATGATGCCTTGTGCTTTAAGTCAATTTGGAGAAAAATAAATCCAAGGGAAAATCAAAACGACAACTGCAGTAACGATGAATGAAAAAAAAGGAATGGAAAGTGTTCGCTTAGCAAGGAGAACAATCATTACAGCCTGTAATTGTGTTGCATTGAAAGATATCTGAGCGAGTTTGATTACTTCATTATGCCTATGTTCTTCGGCCGTGCAAATAGGGACTTGAACCGACTGTAGTTTTTGAAATTCTGTAATGTAATGTTACCACTGCAGTTCTTCGATTTCATTTCTCGCAGTGGTACCGACCGAAGAAGCCAATCTCGAAGGAATCGCGGAAGTTGAAACTCTTCACAAGTAAAAACTTAAAGAAAATTGGTCTTTGGGTGATTTCTCTGACTGCCATTCATTGGACTATCAGGCCTGGAAAATAAAAAGAAAAGAACCTCTGATTTTTCCTTCCGTTCAAAATGATCAGAAGTAGCTGTGGAGTCGGAATGAACGAATTGCGATCATTTGCCGACGAATTTCATTTGCATGCCTTATTTGACAGATGGAGAGCGATTAAAAAAAAAATCACCTAACGTAGATTAGAGATGAAGTACAACATTCAGCGTAAACAGCAGGTAAGTTGTAAAAGTCATTTCCTCGCACAATTCTCCAAGAAGCTCCTCTAACCCATATGAATAACCGACGAGAGGTGATCGTTTCCTCCTAAGTGATGTTCTTTGTGGAGCTGGAGTTCAATTGTCTTCTTTCATGCACCAGAATAACGATGACAAGTCTGACTTTGCGATAATTTTAGGGTTTGATTGTATCTGTGACCTTATTTTTTCTTAGGAATACCGCTATTTCGGTTCAACAGACTTTAAACCGTTTTGAATAATTTAGAGGATCATCCAACCCTGAAAACTTACCTGTTATGGTTAAGATATGATCGCACAGTAAAGGGTTGGCCTAAAGTTTAAGGCTAAATGTTTAAATCACCAGTAAGTTAATATTTTTTTTGCGTTTTCAATCGTTTAGTCAACGGCATTTAAGAGAACCCCAGCAAAAGGACTGCAGAAATTATCTGGAGTGTATTTATTCAGCGATATTCAACGAGTCATCTTTCGTAAGGTAAGGGACACTTTAGTGAACCTAGGAAACGCAAGACGTGATAAAAAGATTTGAGTTATGCGCGCTCAAGCTGTGAATGTATAAAGAAACCAGTTTTAGGTTGTAATTACTTGTCTCCACGTCCGTGAGATGCTCCTAAAGTACCAGTTGTTGTATTTTCATTACTTAATTAGCTAATTGACTGTTTTGTCTGATAGTCAAAACATTTGGAGTTCATCCTGTCAATTTTTTTCCTCGTTATTTCCACAATAAGTAAACAGAACCGATACTTTCTATCGTCTTACATTTAATACTTCCCTGGTAATCCTACATTGTAAAAAATATTTTTACATTTGGACTTAACCGACAACCTACTTAGGCAAATCGTGTTACCTCTATAACTTTTAGGAGTTTAATACATGATGGATCTTAACCTAATCCCCTTTTTTGCGACATTTTCAGTTAATTTACTATAACAGGTTGCCTCAAATTTGTCTTCATTTCTATTAAAGAACTTCGTCATATCTATAAAGAGCGCTTAATCTAGGCGTATGCAGTGGTCGTTTACATCCCACCCTTATTTTATTTCTTTACACTTTACAGTCCCGTCGAATATATCCATGACAGACTTACAAATCCTTGCTCTGTTCTGTTGCCTTGTACCATGTCTGTCCATACAGTATCTTAGGGGTCAGGTCATTCCTCAGTACTATCTGCCTTACGTTCTCCGCTCAGAAGTCCCGAGACCTGTCCCCAGGCCTATCCCACGATCAACAATAATGAGCCCCGAATTAGCCCGACTGTATGCGGCAAAGAAACAAGCGATAAAGATAGCGAAGGATATCGACTCGGAGATTGAGCACTATGTTCAGAATCAGCTCTATCGCAGAACCTTCGATACCAACGATATGAACTTCCCATTCTTCAATCCAAGACCTACGAACCCTTTGTCCGCTGCTATTGGTGCTCAAGGTGGAGTCTGGTTCCCAGGTCCATCAGGAGCAGGTGTCGAGGGAAGCCGCATGCTTGAAGGCCGGGCAAATCAAGTACCTCCTTTTCGTAGAGCCCAGGCCTCACGGACACCAAGTCAGAGCAGGTTAGCTAGAATTCTGCAAGTACCGCAAAATGTCGGTAATACACAGGTTCCTCGAACATTCACGCCAACTGGGACCCAGTCTACACCAGACCCCTCCGATGAGATAAATAGTAAGTAAGGCTGCTTCGGTTTGAGCGATTTTCGATTGAGTGTCTTAAAACCAAAGATTAAATATTACAAGTTAAGGAGCCAATTAGAAATCACTCTGAAAATAAGCAAACTATCTGATGCACGGAAAAACGTAAATGACTGAGATGCGATTGGACTAGTTTCGTATCTGATTTGTCGCGAGTGTGGCACGAGTTTCTGGACCAATCACAATGCGAGCTAAAGCAAAACCAATGCATTCCGGCTTTTCTATCGGTACTCAATTGAAAATTGCTCTTTGGGATGCAATTTTTTTATTTTACAAGAGAGGATTGTGCTGAGAGACTAAACATCTATATTTACCAGCCTCGTTACCATGGACAAGGTTTCTCATGTTCCCATTCCATTGACTCTGAGAATGAGATAACCATCCCAGGTAATATTTTAACTATTCCCGCTTTTAGAACCTAGGAAATCTAGTGTAACCAATTATATATCGCGAAGTTTGCTCACGTGGGTGTCACGCGTGGAGATCATTCCTTTCCCGCTTAAGTGTTTAAAGAACATACGAGCTACCCGTACGTGAAATCTAATCTGTGTAACTGCATTTGAGTGTAAAAGTGCCTGGCAGGTATTAACTATGCAATATGAAGGACACAATTTCGAAGCTTGATCCGCTCTTTGATGTTGAAACTCATGAAAGGAACTGACAAATATCACAGGTCAAACATCGTTATGTATTTAAGTGGGTCATGGAGCACTTTTTGACCGAGTGTTGGGAAGCCAAAATCAAAGTTATCATAGAGGCGAATCAGTAGAAAGGAAATATCACAAGAAGCCAATTAGAACACAAAGTGAAAAGAAAAAGTGCTTGAAGCGCGGCAAAAAGCGAGTGACTGATCGGGTTGGGTTATAGCTTTCAACTTAGTCGGTTAGAGCATTGAAACGTTTCTGAGGCAGTCAGAGAGCGAAGTGAAGCAAAAACAACACAATCTAAGATTTCTTTCGACACTCAGTTTAAATTTCTCTAATAGGAGAGAGAGAAACAATAAATGTCATCTCGCTTTACCATAAAAGCGTGATATGTCTCGATACCACTAATATTGCAGTGTTTTCCTTACTCAAAGTTCAAAGACTTCTCACAACATTGTAAGAAATCTAACCAGTCGGTTCACGTAAAAGAAAACAATGCAAACAAGTACTCTTGAATCATATTCCCCCACAAAAATAAAACATGAAATGAATCCTAGATTACCATCTGATTATTTTGAGGAACCATCTCGTAATTCACCTTGCCATCATTTGAGAATTAAATTTGTATATTGAAGATAAGATGGGTACACAATAATGATAATGGAAAAGGGAATTCATAAACTCTAACGAATTTTCATTAAATTTTCAAATGAATAATTGACTCAACAACAAAAGAAACAAATTTAAGTGTAATTTTGTCCTTAGAGGTCGGACTATTTCTTCCCCCAGGCCTCGGAAATCCCACAGAATTTGATCAGAAATGCATGGTACTTAAACTGACGTTCGAAAAGTCAAACGGTGACTTGGTGTTCGACGACTCACTACAGAAGAACAATGGTCGGCTACAAGGTGAGGCTCAAGTTTTAAAAGACCATGCCGACCAGGGACGGTCTGTTGATTTTGGGAACAATGGAAAAATTGTTCTTAAACCTGGTTTCAAGGGAAAACCAAAGAAGTCCATCGCGATCTCACTGTGGGTCAAGCTAAAAAACGTTCAGGGAGTTATTCCTCTTATCACAGCCACCGATGAAAGAAACTTTGTTCGTTACGGCCTACAACTGCGCAATGGCAGAGGAGAATGGGTGCATAGAGGGGACTCGGGTAGGGAGTTGTTTCGTATCCAGTCCAGCACTCCAGATGTAACTGCTGAAAAATGGCATAACATTGTGGGCAGCTTCGACTCCATGTCAAGGACTGCGTCACTCTGGGTGGACGGCAAGCAAGTGAGCAAAGAAGATGGAATCAGCGGTGTACTCTCACAGAAGTGGAACAAGCTAACCATATTTGGAGGGAAAGCGCGTGGAGACATGGACAATGTCTTTATGTTCAGATGTCCACTGGACAAAACCAAAATCGTAGCTCTGTATGTGTCTGCAGCATCTCCTAAAGAAGTCAAAAGAGATTTAATTCCAAGACCTAAATGATGTGGGGTAATTTTAAGTGCAACCGAGTGCGGAAAGTATTCCAGGATTGCTTTGGTTTTGCTTTACTTTCCGTGTAACCAGTCTTGAAACCTCGACAAGGAATTAGTAAGATGCATAACTTACATCCAATCGCATCTCAGTTGCTAATTTTTTCCTCGGTTGAAGCCGTTTTCATGTACATTTTGCTTCATAAGTCAATGGTTCCACTGGCCATGCTGACCCATTGTTACTGAAATGGACCTTTTGTCCTTATTGATTGGGATCCCTTCGTTCGGCTTCAGTTTTATGTTTAAAAACCCTGTTAGTGGTAACACGACTTTGGGTCACCTTAATTATTAATAAAAAATCCAGGGTAAGTTTTGTTAAACTATTTTCCAATAGCTCAGTTTAACTTACATTTCAGATGCACGATTAAATAACAGCCATTGACTAAGTAAATTCTGTAACCCAACTGCAACTATCCACTTTCAATGCTTTCTGTGATCGTTAAGAGAGAAAATAATCACTCTCCGCAGTAAAACTAAAAAAAACCTAACTTTCGCTGATCATTTGCTAATCCATGTATGGCCACGTATCTAGATTACTTGTACTTAAAGATTGGTTCTTTAGGGGAATCCTCCCACTTGTCTTGTAGGCCATACACATCCAAATACTTCAGAACCCTAACTCTGACCATAACCTTAG